AGCAGCAGCAGCAGCAGCAGCAGCAGCAGCAGCAGCAGCAGGAGCAGGAGATTGTGCCCAATGCCTTCATGGTTTCGGACTTGGTCTGCTGCTGCTTCTTTTGCTGCTGCTCTTTCGAGGCTGCTGCTTCTAAAGAGTTAAATTAAATTAAATTAAATTAATTAAATTAAATTAAATTAATTAAATTAAATTAAATTAAATTAACTAAATTAAATTTATTTAATTAATTAAAGTAAATTCAATAAATTAATTATCTCCTTCCATCTTCTTTTGTTCTTTTGCCTCTTATTGGCCTCTTAATTGTTTTATCTTCCTTCCGTTTTATTTTTATTTTATTTTATTTTATTTTATTTTATTTTATTTTATTTTATTTTATTTTATTTTATCTTTTTAATTCTTTTTAATTTAACCTTTTTGTTTTCTAGTTTTATTTTTTTACTTTTTTATTTTTCTCTTTTTGTTTTGTCTTTTTAATCTTCTTTTATTTGTCTTCTTTTTATTCCTGTCTTTTTAGTTCTCTTTTTGTCTCCTTTTAATTCATCCTTTTTGCGTCTCCTTTGCTGCTGCTGCTGCTGCTGCTGTTGCTGCTGCTGCTGTTGCTGCTGCTGCTGCTGCTGCTGCTGCAGATATTGGCTCTCGTTAGAGACGGCCTCATTGCAGACGAGCAGCCAGACCCCACACATATAATCCTCAAAGAGCTAAAGAAGGTACCTTTGCTGCTGCTGCTGCTGCTGCTGCTGCTGCTGCTGCTGCTGCTGTTGCTTCTGTTGCTCTTGCTGCTTCTCCACCTGATTCTGCTGCTGCTGGTCTTGCTTCTGGTGCTGCTCTTGTTCCCGCTGCTCTTGCTTCTGCTGCTGCTCTTGCTGCTGCTGCTCTTGCTGCTGCCGCCGCTGCTGCTTCTCCTGCTGTTGCGCCTGTTTCTGCTGCTGCTGTTGCTCCTGTTGCTGCTGCTGCTGCTGCTGCTGCTGTGACGGTAGTACTCCCCCTTTTTCGTTTTCACTCTCGCGATTATTGCTTTTGGTGGGAGCCCCAGCAGCAGCAACAGCAGCAACTGCTGCTGCTGCTGCTGCTGCTGCTGCTGCTGCTGCTGCTGGGAGCTCTTCACTTCAGGTTAAGGGCGAGCCCGTCTGCTGCTGCTTCTACCGCTGCTGCTGCTGCTGCCTGCGCTGCTGCTGCGTGCTCGATTCTCCCCCGCCGCTGCTACCTGCCCCCATCTCCCCTGTGCTGCTGCTGCTGCTGCTGCTGCTGCTGCTGCTGCTGCTGCTGCTGCTGCTGCTGCTGCTGCTAGGGGGAGCTGCGCCCGCAGATCCTTGAGGGCGGCGTTGAGAAGGACCGCTTCGACGCCAGCTGGTGTATCGTCAGGGTCAATGAGTCTGCACCCAAAAAGGTAGCCCTTATTTGCTGCTGCTGCTGCTGCTGCTGCTGCTGCTGCTGCTGCTGCTTCTGCTGCTGCTGCTGCTGCTGCTGTTGCTGCTGTTGCTGCTGTTGCTGTGTGTGCTGCTGCTTTTACTGTGTGGGTGTGTCCTTCTGCTGCTGTGTGTACTGCTGCTGCTGACTGTGAAGCTGCCACTGCTGCTGTTAGTGCTGCTGCTGTTGCTGCTGCTGCGGTTTGCTGCTGCTGCTGCTGCTGCTGCCTCGCCGCCATTTTTCTTTTTGTCTCCGTTTTCTTGCAGTTGCTGCTGTGTCTTTGTGTTGTTTTTTATTTTCTTTTTTATTTTCTTTTTTTCTCCATTTATTTCTTTTTGTCTATTCATTTGTTGCCTGTTTGTTAATTTTCTTTTTTCTTCTTTTTTGTTTCTTTTTATTTCTTCTCCTTTTTTTTACTTTTTCTTTTTAACTTCATTTCTTTTTGTCTCATTTTATTTCGTTTTTACTTCTTTATTTAATTACATTTTACTTTATTTTTTTTATTTTTATTTTTATTTCATTTTTATTTTTATTTTTATTCTTATTTTATTTTTATTTTTACTTTTTGTTTTTCAGGTTCGGTCTCTTTTTCGCCACAGTCACTTTCCAAGAGAAAACAGATTCATTTCCCAGACACCTCAAGACATCCGAGTCAGCTGCTGCTGCTGCTGCTGCTGCTGCTGCTGCTGCTGTTGCTGCTGTTGCTGCTGCTGCTGTTGCTGCTGTTGCTATTACTGCTGCTGCTGGTACAGCTGCTAGTGCTGTTGTTACTGCTGCTGCCTTTGCTGTTGCTGCTGCTCCCGTTGCTGCTGCTGCTGCAGTTGCTGCTTTGCTGTTGCTGCTGCTGTTGCTGCTGCATTTCTGTTGCTGCTGCTGCTGCGGGTCCTCCCTCCTCGCGCAGTGGCCGTCACCTGTCGTTGCTGCTGCTGCTGCTGCGGCTTTTGCTGCTGCAGGAGTACTTCAACCACCCGTCGATGGCACGCGGCGCCGCTGGGACCAGCAGCAGCAGCAGCAGCAGCAGCAGCAGCAGCAGCAGCAGCAGCAGCTGGGCCCGCTTCAGCGACTTCCACTTGCTGCTCTACGTGGCCCGCCTCTTCGATGTGGCCACGAGCTTTTCTCTTTGCGATGCTGTTCTAAACGAGACTCCCGTGGACGAGGGCATGGAAGATGTCCTCAAGTCCCTCGCCTAGCTAGCTAGCTAGCTAGCTAGCTGGCTAGCTGGCTAGCTGGCTAGCTGGCTAGCCAGCTAGCTACCTGGCTAGCTAGCTAGCGGGGCCCTTCAGAGGGCCCCGAGCTAGCCATTGCTGCAGTGTGTTGTTGGCCATCAATTTGGGGCGCCTGTTCACTGGCTAGCTGACTAGCTGGCTATCTGGCTAGCTGGCTAGCTAGCTAGCTGGCTAGCTATCTGGCTAGCTAGTTGGCTAGCTATCTGGCTAGCTAGCTACTCAAAAGACTCCCTAGCTGGCTGGCTAGCTAGCTAGCTACTCAACAGACGCCCTAGCTAGCTAGCTAGCTAGCTAGCTAGGCATGCGGCTAGCCAGCTAGCCACTGACTTTTGGAGCTGTCCAGTTTATACCGTGCATAGTTAGCTGATGGAAAGGCCAGCTAGCTAGCTAGCTAGCTAGCTAGCTAGCTAGCTAGCTAGCTGAGCCCACTCTAGAGGCCCCACCCAATGTGCGCCGAGCTAGCCGACTAGTTAGCTAGCTGTTTAGGCAGCTAGCTACGTAGCTGGCTCTTCGCCGCTACCTGCTTGTCTATCTCTGCTGCTGCTGCTGCCGCTGTTGCTGCTGCCTGTTTGTCTATCTCTGCTGCTGCTGCTGCTGCTGCCACTGCTCCTCTCTTTGGGCTTCCGGATTCCAGTCAGTACACCAGAAAAAGCGAGCAGCAGCAGCTGCTGCTGCTGCAGAGGCAGCAATTACTGCCCTGGATGGTGCAGCGGCTGCTGCATTGGCAGCAGCAGCAGCTGCTGCTGTTGCTGCTGCTGCCGCTGCCACTGCATATCCAAATACACTAGAAAAAGCCCTCGTGTCACATATTAGGGCCCTTTGCTGCAGCGCCTGCTGCTGCAGCTGAGGCGACTGCTGCTGCTGCTGTTTCAGGGGCAGCAGCAGCAGCAGCAGCAGCAGCGCAGCAGCAGCACGACGCGAGCACTACAGTAGAAATCCCCTCATGGCAGCCGCCCCTTGCTGCTGCTTCTGTCGTTCGCGCTGCAGCTCCAGCAGCAGCGCCTGCAGCAGCAGCAGCAGCAGCAGCAAATGCAGCAGGCAAGTCGCTGAGTGGAAGCGAAGCAGCAGGAACAGCAAGAAGCAGCAGCAGCAACAGCGCACCCAGCAGCAGCAAGAGCAGCAGCCTCAGCAGCAACAAACCCTTATATGCCTGTCCTTAGGGGACAAAGCAGCAGCAGCTTTTGCTGCTGCTAAAGCTGCTGCGTCATCTCCTGCTGCCTGCAGCGCCAGGGCCTTCCGGTGCAGCGCAGTTTTCTGCGACAGCAGCGGGTCAAATCCCTGCTGCTGCTGCTGCTGCTGCTGCTGCTGCTGGTCTTGGTTTTGCTGCATTTGCTGCGGACTTGGCGCCGCCGCCTCTCCCTGTTCACTGCTGCTGCTGCTGCTGCTGCTGCTGCTGTTGCTGCTGCTGCTGCTGCTGCGCGCGCAGGCGAGAGCGACGTCGCAGTGCGCTGCTGCTTCACTGAACTGCTGCAGCCTCAGGCAGCAAGATGCTGCATTGAGAGACAAGCTGCAGCAAAGAGCTCGTGCTGCAGCAGCAGGAAGTTCTGTTTTGCTGCCAAGGGGGCCGTGGGCAGATAAGGCGGAAGCAGTGTTCAGCGGCAGCAGCAGCTGCTGCTGCTGCTGCAGCAGCCTCCAGTAAGCAGCAGACATGCGACATATGTCTAGCCCTTTCTTGTACATGGACAGCGCGGCGGAGATCCATCCGTGCTGCAGCAGCAGCAGCAGCAGCAGCAGCAGCAGCAGCAGCACGCAGGGATAAAGAGGAAATAGGCGCAAAGGCAGCTGCAGCAGCAGCAGCAACGGAAACGAACGGGCAGCAGCAAAGAGGCCACTTCATCATGCGCAACTCATCTGCTGCTGCTTCGGTGTCATTGCTGCTGCTGCTTGTGCTGCTGCTGCTGCTTGTGCTGCTGCTGCTGCTGCTGCTGTTGCTGCTGTTGCTGCTGCTAATGTACCTTAAACAGCAGATTCCCCTCAGCCTTCAGCGCAGCAGCAAAGTCTGCTTTCGCCTCGCCCGAAAGAGCCCAGTGGTCTGGACGCTGCAGCAGCAGCAGCAGCAGCAGCAGCAGCAGAATTGCTGGACAAACAAGTGCAGCAAGACGCAAGAACTGGCCGTCAGACGCGCAACGCTCGTGCTGCTGCTGCTGCTGCTGCTGCTGCTTTGGCTGCTGCTGCTGCTGCTTTGGCTGCTGCTGCCTTACCCTCCCCAGTACTCCTGCAAAGGAGACAGAAGCTCTGCAGCTTAGCTGCAGACGCCCCGGCCCAAACAAGGTCTCCATGCTGTCTTGCTGCTGCTGCTGTTGCTGCTGCTGCTGCTGCTGCTGCTGCTGCTGCACGCCTAGGAGCTGCTGCAGCACCCTCTCCAGTCTCTCTGGAGTGTAGCGCAGCAAATGAGGGACTGCAGCAGAAGGCTGTCTCCTTTCTATGCATCTCACAGCTGCTACAACTCTCCTTAGTTCTGCTGCAGTAGCAGACTCGAATTGCTGCTGCTGCTGCAGCTGCTGCGGGATCGCAGCATCAGCTCCAGCAGCAGCAGCAGCTCCTGCTGCAGTGCCTTGAGCGTCTCCATTCATCTCAGGCAGCTGCAGCAGCCACAGCCCTTCCTAATGAGCGCAGCAGCAGCACATTGACAACCTCGACTGCAGCATTTACAGCAGTAGCTGCAGCAGCAGCAGCAGCAGCAGCAGCAGCTGCAGCAGCAGCAACTGCAGCAGGAGCAACTGCACCAGCAGACACTCTATATCAGCCCTTACCCAAGCAATCGCTGGCAGCCCTTCAACCAAATTAGACTCCTGCTGAACCTCCGGCTGCTGCTGCTGCTGCTGCTGCTCTTGCTGCTGCTGCTGCTGCTGCATGCACGCTCGTTTTCCCTGCGGCTGCTGCAACAGCAGCAGCTCGGGAGGCAGCAGCACCTCCGCTGTTTGGCCCAGCGGCAGCTTCAGCAGCAAATGGCGCAGCCACAGCGGAACAGTCACTACAGATGACAGTGAAAACAGCAGCCAAACGTGCTGCTGCTGCTGCTGCTGCTGCTGCTGCTGCTGCTGCTGCTGGTCTTCCATGCGGCACACAGTCAAGTCGCCTGCAGCTGCTAAGCAGCTCGGGTCCGAAGAAGCAAACAGCAGCGGCAGCAACGGGAGTTGCTCTGGCTGCTGCTGCTGCTGCTGCATGTGCTGCTGCTGCTGATGCTGCTTGTGCTGCTGCTGCGGTGTTTCCAACAAGTCTGCCTGCCCTTCTTCAGCAGTAATAGATCCAGCAGCAGCAGCCGAGCTCGCTGCTGCTGCTGTTGCTGCTGCTGCTGCTGCTGCTGCATCAGATGGCAGCAACACGTCCACATCAATCCGCAAGCGGATGAGCACTGTGGTGTTTTCGTCTGCAAAAATGGGGTGGGGGGGAGCAGCAGCAACAGCAGCAGCAGCAGGGGCTGCTGCTGCTGTCACTGAGCGTGCTGCTGCAGCCTGCTGCTGCTCCATTTGCTGGAGCTGCAGTTGCTGCTGCTGCATTTGCTGCTGCTGCAGCGGGCTCAAGGAATACCGCATGACGCCCGCAGTCCCCTTCAGGTGTATTGGCGCTGCAAGCATAAAGATGACACCTACAGCAACACTGCAGCAGCAGCAGCAGCAGCAGCAGCAGCAGCAGCAGCACGGCGAAAGGCAGCGGCGGCTGCAGGCCAAGCTAGAGCAGCTGCAGCAGCCAGAAAACCTACAATAAGCCCAGCAGCAGTAGCAGCAGCACCTGCTTCGGCAGCCCCAACAGCCCGAAGACCAGCAGCATCAAACAGCAGCAGCAGCAGCAGCAGCAGCAGCAGCAGCAGCAGCAGCAGCAGCAGCAGACGAAGGCCTCACAAGGCACTTGTATTTCCTCTAAACGCCGCCAGCCCAGCAAACGAACGAACAAACAAACAGAGTCGCGGAAGGGAAAGCTGAAGCACTTGAAAGAGCAGCAGCAACTCTCGCTTGCTGCTGCTGCTGCTGCTGCTTCTGGAGGTGCTGATGCTGAAGGTGCTGTTGCTGCTGCTGCTGTTGCTGCTGGAGCTGCTGCCGCTGCCGCTGATGGCGCTGCTGAAGCTGCTTGTGGTTGCACCTCTCCCTCTACGGATGTTGCTGCCGCCGTCGTCGTTGCCGGTGTTGCTGCTGCTGCTGCTGCTGCTGCTGCTGCTTCTGCTGCTGCTGCTGCTGCTGCTGAGACGCAGCTGTCGCAAAGACACCTTAAGTCTGTGTGGCCCTCATGCGTTCCTTTCTCGTCTGTGTTGCAGCTGCCGCACGTGCTTCGGAGGCAGCGTTCTTGCTGCTGCTGTTGCTGCTGTTGCTGCTGCTGCTGCTGCTGCTGCTGCTGCTGCTGCTGCAGAGCCCTGCCTCGAAGGCTAACGACTGCAGCATCCCCCAGGCGCATGCGTTTCAGCCCCTGCAGCAGCCCGGCATAAGGAAGAGCAGCAGCTCTTAGCGGCAGCTCAAATGCATGCAAAGCCACAGGTGCAGCAGCAGCAGCAGCAGCAGCAGCAGCAGCAGCGGGGGAAGCAGCAGCTGGTGCTGCATCTGCTGCCGGCTGCTGGGAGCATCTGCGCAGGCGGTTGTGCTGCTGCAGCAGCAGCTGCTGCAGCTCGTTGGTGACTGTGCACTTCAAGCTGCTGCAAAGGGCGCTGAGCTGCTGCAGCTGGCAGCAGCGGGAGCAGCAAAGAGCAGCAAGCTGCAGCAGCAGCAAATCCCCCTCTCTAGGAAAGCGGCTGCTGCCACAGGAGAAAATTGGAGACAATAAAACGCTGCTGCTCTCGTCAATCCGCTGCAGCTGCCCCACAGCCAGCAGCTCAACCACAAAGCAAACGTTCTTGCTTTTTGCTGCTGCTGCTGCTGCTGCTGCTGCTGCTGCTGCTGCTGTTCCCTCCGGTGCTGCTGCTGCGGGCGACTTGCAGGTAGCTGCTTCTGCTGCTGCCGAATCCACAACGCCGTCTGCTGCTGCGGCTGGCCCAGCCGCTGCTTTGGGTGCTGGTGGCTCAGCTGCTGCTGCTGCTGCTGCTGGCGGCTCAGCTGCTGCTGCTGCTGCAGGCGGCGGCTCTGCTGCTGCTGCTGCTGCTGGCTTCAGCGCTGCTTTCCCTGCTGTTGCTGCTGCTGGCTTCTCTAAGTACGCTGTGGGCGTCCAGCAGCAGCTGCAGCAGTCGGCGGCAGCAGCAGCAGCACACTGTGGGTGACTGTGGTGCTGCTTCTTCTGCTGCTCCCGTTGCAGCTGTTGCTGCGGCTGCGGCTCCTGCTGCTGCTGCTGCTGCTGCCGCTGCTCCTGGTGCCTCCGCCGCTGCTTGCTGATGCGTCTTGCTGCTCGTCTTGTGGTTTGTAGCGAAGACTTGTGCAGCGCCGCGTACGCCCTGCTGCTGCTGCTGGTGCTGCTGCTGCTGCTGCAGGCTGCAGCGTGGCGGCCGCCAGCAGCAGCAGCAGCAGCAGCAGCAGCAGCAGCTAAACCCTGCGGGCAGTGCTCGTAGGCCCTAGGGGCTAAGTGCTCTTGCTGGCAGCAAACAAGAGAAACTTCTCGGCCGACCATACACCGCAGCGCAGCCTCCACGAACGCGGGCAGCACTGCAGCAGCAGCAGCAGCAGCGCAGCAGCAGCAGCAGCACAGCAGCAGCAGCAGCAGCACAGCAGCAGCAGCGAGGATACGGCCTATAAAAAAGTGCAGCAAGAGCAGGCGCATCGCCATAACAAAGTAATCTACTCAAACGTGCTGCAGGGCAGCTGTCCCACCAGCAGCAGCATCAGCAGCAGCAGCCATTATTGCTGCTGCTGCTGCTGCTGCTGCTGCTGCTGCTGCTGCTGTTAGACGCACCTGAAGAGCCCAGCGTCGCCAGCACAGGAGTGCATGCAGCTGCTTCGTCCGTGAGCTCCTGCAGCTCAGCATGGGTGAAGCCAGGGACCAACAGATTGCTGCTGCTGCTGCTGCTGCTGCTGCTGCTGCTGCTGCTGGGCGGCGCTGCAGCAGGGGCTTCCACTCTCCGCCAACGCACTGCAGCAGCAGCAGCAGCAGCAGCAGCGAGACGCGTTCGCACGGCCAGACTTCAACGAAGCAGCAGAAGCGGCAGTAGCAGCAGCAGCAGCAGCCGTGGCCTAAGAGCCCCAGCAGCTGTTGCTGCTGCAGGGATCCAAACGGCAGCAGCAGCAGCAGCAGCAGCAGCAGCAGGTCACCTAAAACCTCGTCTCCATTTCCTGGGAAGACATCTCCCTAAAAGTCGCACACAGGCCAGCACACCCGCACCACCCCTGCCGCTGCGGCTTCTGCTGCTGCTGCTTCTGCTGCTGCTGCTGCCGCTGCTGCTGCTGCTGCTGCTGCTGCTGCTGCTGCGGCTTGCCTGGCCTGTGCGCAGCAGCAACTTGGCTATGTTGCCTTTGTAGTGAAGAATCCGCAAGTCCCCCAGGCGAGGGTCTGGGGCCTCGTCGTCGCTCTTGAAGTCGTAGACTGCGCACCCAAACCCTAAACCCTAAACCCTAAACCCTAAACCCTAAACCCTAAACCCTAGATTCTGGACGGGGCAGCAGCAGCAGCTGCTGCTGCAGCGGCAAGAAGCTGCACATTGCAGCGGCGCGGGAAGCAGCACGGCGAAGATGCCGCACGCGATGCTCTTCGCCATCGCCAAACCCTAAACCCTAAACCCTAAACCCTAAACCCTAGACCGAACCCCCCAAATCCTAGCCTCTACACCACCCTAAACCCTAAACCCTAAACCCTAAACCCTACCCGGGGCATCGCTTTCCGCCTCTGTCGTTAGCCCAGCTTCCTCTTCGGACTCTGTCTCCGCAGCAGCTGCTGGTCTCTCCATAGCAGCAGCAGCAGCAGCAGCAGCAGCAGCAGCAGAGGCAGCAACACAAGAAGCGGAAGAAGCAGCAGCAGCAGCCGGGAAACACTAGTTGCTTTCGAGTTTTTTGAGTGGCTTCGGCTCAAAAGCAGAAGAATGCAGCATGTGTAAACCCTAAACCCTAACCCTAAACCCTAAACCCTAAACCCTAAACCCTAAACCACAGCTGGTGCGTGGTTGTAGGGGCTCCCGCGGCTCCCCTTTTTTGCCTTTTCTCCTCAAACCCTAATTTAGAGAATCTAATAAAAAAACAAATAAATAAAAGCTTTATATACACCCTAGTTGCTGCTTCCAGCTGCTGCTGCAGCACGGGGGCCCCCCTGATGCTCTGGGGGCCCCCCAGCAGCAGCAGGGGGCCCCCAGGGTTTCTTTGAGGGCCCCCAGCAGCAGCAGCAGCAGCAGCTTCAGCAGCAGCAGCAAAAAAACCTATAATAACTTCTTTCTGATGTATTTGTCGAGCTACGTGAAGCCAGCAGGAAACCGAAACCCTAAACCCTAAACCCTAAACCCTCGTCTGGGCCTGCAGCTAACATTTGCCAACCTGCTGCCGCCTTCTCGCTCCCGCATTGCCTTTCGAAGAACTTTCTCTTCTTTCCAAGAGGGTTTAGGGTTTAGGGTTTAGGGTTTAGGGTTTAGGATCTAGGGTTTAAAGTTTCCATTTCCATCCCCTCCTCTTCTACAAATATGGAGGTAAGCCAAAATGTCTCACCACTAGGGCCCCCGTGCAGTCCTTGGGGCCCCCGGGGGGCCCCCGGGGGGCCCCCGGGGGCCCCCGGGGGGCCCCCGGGGGCCCCCGGGGGGGCCCCGGGGGCCCCCTTTGGGGCCCCTTTTGGGTACCTAGGGGCCCTTGGGGCCCCCCAGGGGCCCTCCTGGGGGCCCCCTGGGGCCCCTTTAGGGTACTTGGGGGTCTCAAGAGGCATTTGGGGCCCTCGGGGGCCCCCAAGGCCCGCTGAGGGCGGGCCTTAGGGGCCCCCAGGGGCCCCTTGGGGGCCCCTGGGGGCCCCCCAAGTCTCCTGAGGGCTCCCGGGGCCTGAGGGGCCCCCGGGGCCCCTTAGTACCCTCTGGGGCCCCCTGGGGGGCCCCCTGGGGGGCCCCCTGGGGCCTCCTAATGTTTGTTTCATTTTAGCTTTTCAAATGTCTCTTAATTGTGTTAATTTTGGCTTTTTATATCCTTTTTAATATCCTTTTATTTCTTTATTGAATTAAAATGAATTAAAATGAATTAAAATAAATTAAAATAAATTAAAATGAATTAAAATAAATTAAAATGAATTAAAATGAATTTGGAAATCTTCTTCAGATGCTTAAAATGTGTTTAAGTTTTTTAATCTTTTTTCAACTTTCAAAAATACTTTCAACACCTTTTTAAATGCTTCTTAAATCTCATTTCAGTCAGTTTGAAACATATTAAAAACAAATTAAAAATGAAATAAAAATGAATTAAAGTCGAATTAAAAACAAATTAAAAATAAATTGAAGACGAATTAAAAATGAATTAAAAACAAATTAAAAATGAACTAAAAATGAATTTAGAATGAATTAAAAATGAATTAAAAAAGAATCAAAACGAAATAAAATGATTAAAAATTATTTAAATATGTTGAAAAATGTTGGGTTGTTTTTTGGTCTTTTTTCAACTTTAAAAAATGCTTTCAACTCCGTTTTAAATGCCATTTAAAGCAAATTAAAAGCAACTGAAAAGAAAACGAAAAGAGAATGAAAAAAGAATTAAAAAGAACCCAAAAGAGTCAAAAAAGAATCCAAAAAGAATCAAAAAAGAATCAAAATGATTAAAATTCTTTTTTTTCTTCAGGGTTTCCAGGCTTTGCCGCGGCCGCGCGTGCTGCGGCGAATGCCTCTTTTGTGTCTTTCACTTTTCCTCTGCGGCGGAATGACAGAAGCAGCAATTTCTTTTTCTGGATTTTATTCTTTTTTTGCTTTTGAAGAGTCCAAAAAGAAAACTCAAAAACAAATCCAAGACCAACAAGTCCTCCAGGCAGCAATGCACAGGAGGCAGCAAAGAAACGGCACGCGCAACGATCCTGCTGCTGCTGCTGCCGCTGCTGCTGCGCTGCTGCTGCTGCTGCTGCTGCTGCTGCTGCTGCTGCGCTGCTGCTGCTGCTGCTGCAGCGGCGAAGGCGGCAGCTGCGGCTCTTTTGCGGTTCTTTTGCTGATGTTGCTGCTGCTGCAGCAGCTGTTGCTGCTGCTGCTGCTGCTGCTGTTGCTGCGGCAGCGGCGGCTCTTTTGCGCCTCTTTTGTTGCTCCTTTACTGCTGCTGCTGCTGCTGCTGCTGCTGCTGCTGCTGCTGTCTCTCTTTTTATATTGCATTTTGCTCTTTCTGCTTTATTTTCTTTGCTGCCTTCTCGCCTCATCTCTCCTGAGTTTTCTTTTTTCATTTTTTGATTTTTTAATTTTTTTTGTTTTTGTCTTTTTCTGTTTTTTCATTTTTCATTTTTGACTTTTTGATTTTCTGCTGCTCTTCAAATTTATTTTTGGCTTTTTGGGGGATCTTTTTTGCTTCTGTGCTGCAGCTGCTCTAAACTTGAACAGCTGACGCCGCCAGCAGCAGCAGCAGCAGCAGCAGCAGCAGCAGCAGCAGCAGCAGCAACAGCAGCAGCAACAGCAGCAGAAGCTGCGCGGAACGGCAAAGAAGAGAAGCGGGAGTTGGCGCTGAGAAGCAGCCGCAGATACTCTGCAGCAGCAGCAGCAACAGGAACGGCAGCAGCAGCAGCAGCAGAAGCAGCAGCAGCAGCAGGAGCAGCAGCAGGTGGCTTGTGCAGAGGGCATGCCGTTTTCGAGGGTTTTCTATTGGGGTTTAGGGTTTAGGGTTTACTGCTGCTGCGTGCCTTGAAGTGCAAACCCTAAACCCTAAACCCTTGACCGTAAACCCCAAACCCTAAACCCTCGACGCTTTTTTCAATTTTGCTGCTGCATCAAACCCTTAATCAGCGTTTTGTTGCACTTCACTCATAAAGGGTTTCCTGCTGCGAGGGTTTAGGGTTTGGAGGAGGCGCGCAGCTCACTGCTCTAAACCCTAAACCCTAAACCCTAAACCCTAAACCCTAAACCTCATTTGAAGTGTTGGCTGCAGTTGCCTGCAGCTGAGCCACAGGTTGCTGCAGCTAGCTAGCTGCAGCCAGCTACAGGCTGCTGCAGCTAGCCACAGCTAGCCACAGCTAGCCACAGCTAGCTAGCTGCATGCTGCTGCAGCTAGCCACAGCTAGCCACAGCTAGCCACAGCTAGCCACAGCTAGCCACAGCTAGCTAGCTGCAGGCTGCTGCAGCTAGCCACAGCTAGCCACAGGTAGCCACGTGTTGCTGCAGCTAGATAGCTGCAGCTAGGTAGCTGCAGCTAGCTAGCTGCGGCTAACGAACTGCAGCCAGCTAGCCACAGGTAGCCACAGCTAGCCACAGGTAGCCACAGCTTGCTGCAGCTAGCCACACCTAGACAAAGCCTGCTGCAGCTAACCACAGCTAGCCATGGCCTCCTGCTGCAGCTAGCCGCAGCTAGCTACAAGCTGCTGCAGCTAGCCACAAGGGGCCACGTTATGGCCCGCTTAAGCAGCCTGTGGCTAGCTGTAGCTAGCTAGCTGCATCCGAATGCGGCAGCTGCAATTAGCAGCTAGCTGTAGCTAGCTGTACTTAGCTAGCTGCAGCAGTCGGTGGGCAGCTGCAGCTAACCGCTAGCCGCAGCAAACCCGTGGCTAGCTGCAGCTAGCTGCAGCTAGCTGCAGCTAGCTGCAGCTAGCTGCAGCGAACTGTGTTCAGCACTTTTCATGTTTGTTTATTCATTTATTTTATTTATTTATTTCACTTTTTGTCTAAAGTTCATTTATTTGAATTTCAACTTTAAGACTTTATTGCTTCAGACGGCCTGCCAAGACACCCCAGCGCCCCAAGTTGAAGTGAACAGCGCAAATTAGGGTTTAGGGTTTAGGGTTTAGGGTTTAGGGTTTAGGGTTTAGGGTTTACGGTTAAGAGACAAACAGGATTCCAAGCATTGGAGATCACGGCCTAGTCTAAAACATAGGCAAGGGAGCTCTTGGGGGCCCCTGTAGGCAGAGTGGGTTCCCCTGGGGGCCCCCTGGGGGCCCTCTTGGGGGCCCCCTGGGGGCCCCCAAGGGGGCCCCGGGGGGCCCCCAGGGGCCCCCCAGGGGTCCTGGAGGCCCTGGACTTAACAGTGATCAAGTAAAAACGAAATTAAATAACTAAAAAGGAACTTTTATATCTTTAAATGGCCTGAAGAACCCCTGGGGGCCCCTTGGGGCCCCCTGGGGGCCCCCCAGGGGCCCCCTGGGGGCCCCCTGGGGCCCCCCGGGGGCCCCCTGGGGGCCCCCCATGGGGTCTGTTTGATATCTTTTTGGTTTTTGCTGATATTAATGAATGTAAAGCAGCAAAAACTTAATTTAATTAATTTATAATTTTATTTGTTTGTGTCTTTTCCAAAAAGCTGCAGCTGAGACCCCAAGGGATAAATCATGAGGGGGCCCCCCCACCTGAAGGGGGGCCCCCCCCTTCCCCTCCGCGTGCCCCTGCTGCTGCTGCTGCTGCTGCTGCTGCTGCTGCTGCTGGGGTCTTTCCGCAGCTGTGCTGCGTTGCGCCTCCGCTGCTCTGCTGCAGCAGCACACAGGGGCCCCCCTGGGGGGCCCCTCCTTAGGGGGGCCCCCCAGGGGGGCCCCCATGTGGCACTATTTATTATGAGCCCACAGTACCCTAGAAGCTCCCTTTTGAACAGCAGCAGCAGCAGCAACAGCAGCAGCAGCAGCAACAGCAGCAGCAGCAAGGCCACCGGCAGCTCCAATACAGGAAGCACCGAGGACAGTAGTGGGGACAGCAGCAGCAGCAGCAACAACGGCAGCGGCAGCAACGGCAACAGCGGCAGCAACAGCAGCAGCAGCAGCAGCAAAAGCAACAGCAGCAACAATAATAGCAGCAGCAGCAGCAGCAGCAGCAGCAGCAGCAGCAGCACTGATGCCAATGGCGCCAAGCCGAAGCCTCGCCGTCCCCTAGTCATCACAGAAAGTGCTGAGCAGAAGCTGAAGGCAGGCGCAGCAGCAGCAGCAGCAGCAGAAGCAGCAGCAGCAGCAGCAGCCGTAGCAGCAGCAGCAGCAGCAGCAGCAGCAGCAGCGGCAGCCTTGGCAATGCAGGTAATAAGCACAGCCTCGTTGTTTGTTGTGCTGCAGGAGATGATAGCAGCAGAAGCAGCAGCAGCAGCAAAGGAAGGCAGCAGCAGCAGCAGCAGCAGCAGCAACAAGCCGCTGCTGCTGCGCCTCGCCGTAAAGTCGGGCGGCTGCAGCGGCCTCAGCTATGCCTTAGAGAAGATCGAGCAGGTGCGATGCTGCTGCTGCTGTTGCTGCTGCAGCTGCTGCTACTGCAGCTGCTGCTGCAGCAGCAGCAGCTGCTGCTGCTGCTGCAGCTGCTGCTGCTGTTGCTGTTGCTGCTGCTGCTCTTCAATTTGTCCCCCTTTTGCTTTGTTTATTTGATTGTCTTCTTTTTGCTGCTCCTCCCTCCTTCATTTAACTTTTCTTAAATTTGCTTCTGCTGCTGCTGCTTGCCTGGCTGCTGCTGCTCGCCCTTCTGCTGCTGCTGCTGCTGCTGCTGCTGCTGCTGCTCCCGCTGCTGCATCCTTCATTGCTGCTGTTGCTCACCCTGCCTCCGCCTGTGCTGCTGCTGCTGCTGCTGCTGCTGCCTGCTGCCCCTCGCATCGCCGCTGCTGCCGGCGCTTCTGCTGCCGCTGCTGCTGCTGCTGCTGCTGCTGCTGCTGCTGCTGCTGCAGAGCGACCTGCGCGCAGAAGACCACGTGGAGAGCTTCGACTTCGGAGTGTCTTTTGCAATTGATCCAATTTCTTTCTTTTATGTCTTCGGCACTGAACTCGTTTACTCCCGAGACCTCATGGGCGGCGGCTTCAAGTGAGCAGCAGCAGCAGCAGCAGCAGCAGCAGCAGCAGCAGCAGCGGCAGCAGCAGCAGCAGCAGCGGCGGCGCAGCAGCGGCGGGAGGGGTGGCAGCAGCAGCAGCAGCAGAGGCGGTAGCAAAGGCAGTGACAGTCGCAGCGGCAGGAGCTTTTGCTGCTGCTTTTGTTCTTGCCACTGCTGCTGTACTCGCTGCTGCTGCTGCTGCTGCTGCTGCTGCTGGATCGGTTGCAACTGCTGCTGCTGTTGATGCCAAGCTGCTGCGCCTGGTGCCGTTGCAGCCACTGCTGCTGCTGCAGCTGTTGAGCTTGCACCAATGCAGTTGGCGTTGCTGCTGCGGTTCTTGCTGCTGCTGTCTTTCCGGTTGCTGCTGCTGCTGCTGCTGCTGCTGCTGCTGTTGCTGTTGCTGCTGCTGCTGCTACCGCATCCTCTAAAGACAGCCTTACACAGCGCTTCAGCAACAGTTGCTGCTGCTGCTGCTGCTGCGATCTAATGCCGCAGCGGGAGCAGCACCTCCGCCGCTCACGAACAGCAACAGCAGCAGCAGCAGCAGCAGCAGCAGCAGCAGCAGCAGCAGCAGACGTGTGGGTGTGCTGCAGACTGGCGAACCCCAACGCCTCCCGCACTTGCGGCTGCGGTTTATCTTTTGGAGTCCCTCGGGACTTCAAGCCAGCTTCGCCAATTAAGCAGCAGCCCACTAAGTGCAGCGGCAGCAGCAGCAGCAGCAGCAGCAGCAGCAGCAGCAGCAGCAGCAGCAGCGGCAGCAGCGGCAGCAGCAGCAGCGGCAGCAAGAATGGCGGCTGATGCAGTGCTTGGGGCCGCATGTATTGCTGTGGCTGCACACACACACAAGGCTTAGCAAGTATCAGCAGCAGCAGCAGTGCTGCTGCTGCTGCTGCTGCTGCTGCTGCTGCTGCAGCTGAGCTACTAGGTTTGCTGCTTCTCTGAGAAGGCCAGGGGCCCTTCTGTCTGTTTCTATTTTCTGGATTTTTAATTATTTGTTTTTTTCCGAGGTGTACGTACACCTCAGCAAGCTCCAAACCCTAAACCCTAAACCCTAAACCCTCGCCACTGTTTGCCCTCCTGCAGCAGCTTCACGCAACCTCGACTAGTGCAGCAGCAGCAGCAGCAACAGCAGCAGCAGCAACAGCAGCAGCAGCAACAGCAGCAACAGCAGCAGCAACAACAGCAGCAGCACAGTCAGACTGACAAGAAGCACCCCCCTGGGGGTGCAGCAGCAGTGCCGAAGCAACGCTGCTCCTAAAGTTTTGTTTTATCAATTCAAATTGTTGCTGCTGCTGCTGCAGCAGCAGCAGCAGCTTTCCCTGAAGCTGCTGCTGCAGCAGCTGCTGCTGCGGCCACTGCAAAGATTGCCGCCGTTAGTGTATTTGCTGCTGCAGCAACTGCTGCGGCAGTCACCCTAGCCGCTGTTGCCGATCATTGCTTTTGCTGCTGCAGCTGCTTCTGCTGCAGCTGCTGCAGTTGCTGCTGCTGCTGCTGCTGCTGCGACTGTTTTGGCCGTTGCAGCAGTTGCTGCTGTTGTGGCCGCCCAGACTTACGAGTAGAGCGGCAGCAGCTGCACCATGTCTGTGCACACAGCAGCAGCAGCAGCAGCAGCTGCTGCTGCTGCTGCTGCTGCAGAGCTGCTTTTCCCTAGGACTGCCAAAGGGTGATATAAACTCAAATAAAATAAGAAAGTGAGACACGAGACGACGGAGAGCTCTGCTGCTGCTGCTGCTGCTGCTGCTGCTGCTGCTGCTGCTTTGTCTGGGGAGCCTTTAAAAAGAGACAATGCGCAGAAGCCACGTGTGCTGCTGCTGCTGCAGCAGCAGCAGCAGCAGCAGCACGCTCTCTGCTGCTACCTGCTGGTGCCCTTTCTAGGCACTAAAACGCTCGAAGCGCAGGGGCGAGAAAGACACGGCGGCTGCAGCCGCTGCTGCTGCCGCTGCTGCTGCATCGCTGCTGCTGCTGCTGGTGCTGCAGCAGCAGGAACTTTGCAGTCGCTCTTTGTGCTGCTCGCAAAGCTGCTGCTGCCCGTCACGGGGGGGGAGACCCAGCAGCTTTTCTGCGTTCCCGTTGCTGCTGCTGCTGCTGTTGCTGCTGCTGTCGCTGCTGCTGTTGCTGCAGCCGTTGCTGCAGCCGTTGCTGCAGCCGTTGCTGCTGCTGCCGCCGCTGCTGCTGCAGGGCTCGCAGCGCCCGGCACCACTGCGCCCACGAGCCGGCTGCTGTTGCTGCTGCAACTGCTGCTGCTGCTGCTGCTGAAGCCACCGAAAAACACGCACTCTGCTGCTGCTGCTGCTGCTGCTGCTGCTGCTACTCCGCTAGACCTGCAGCGGGTGCCTTGTCTGCTGCAAGTGGGCCGCCGGGCACTGGCTATGGGGGCCCCCACCCGGGGCCCCTGGGGGCCCCTTGGGGGCCCCCCTGGGGGCCCCCTTGGGGGCCCCTCTGGGGGCCCCCCTGGGGGGCCCCCCCCTGGGGGCCCCCCTGGGGCCCTCCCTAAGAAGCCCCGCATAGTTGTGGGGCGCTGCAGCCGCAGCACCTCGCGGCAGTTTTGCATCCGTGCTGCTGCTGCTGCTGCTGCTGCTGCTGCTACGGCTACTGCGACCGTGGAGTTCCTGCTGCTGTCGTCGCTGCTGCTCCTCCGGCTTTTGCTGCTGCTGCTGCTCTTGCTGCAGCAACTCGCCATGTCCACTAGGCACGCCGCGCAGCTGCTGCTTACTGCTGCCTTGATCTGCTGTTGCTGCTGCTGCTGCAGCAGCTTTTGATGCTTCCGTGCTGCGGCGTTTGAGGTCCCTCTGCTGCTTCGGGTGCTGCTGTTGCTGTGGCTTCGGTCAAGTGCTGCTGCAGCTGGCGCTGCTGCTGCTGCTGCTGCTGCTGCTGCTGCTGGTTTTCCCCCTGCTGAGTCAGCAGCAACGGCCTTCTGCACAGCGGCTTCTCTTACTACCTCTCCGTCAGATTGTTGTTGCTGCTGGATATGCTGTTGTTGCTGCTGCTGCTGCTGCTCTTGCTGCTGCTGCTGCTGCTGGTAGTTGATGCTTTCCCAAGGAAGCGGCGATGTTTCTGCGAAGCAGCAGGGGCATCTCCAAATCTTTTCTGCGTCTGGAGTTGCTGCTGCTTCTGCTGCTGCTTCTGCTGCTGCTGCCTCCGCTGCTGATGGTGGGGTTGCTGCTGCAGCTGCTGCAGCAGCTGCCTCGTTTGCTGCTGGAAGTGGAGCCTGTGGAGAGTCTGTGTGCTGGTCCTCTGCGTTTATCGCTTGCTGCTGCTCCAGCTGCTGCTGCTGCTGCACTTGCTGCTGTGTCTGCCGGTGCTGCTGCAGGTGCTGCACGTGGAGGAAGTGCTGCTGCTGCTGCTGCTGCTGCTGCGGGTGCTGCAGCAGCAGCTGGCAGGCAGGGGCGTTGCTGGGAAAAGCCACGAGCTGCTGAAAAGCAGCAGCAACATACGGGAAGTGCATGGGGCTTTTGGGGCTGCAGCAGCGGAAGAAGCAATGAAACTGAACAGCAGCAAAAGAAAACAAATAATAAAAGACAACTTCTGCTGCTCGGCTCGAGAAGCAGCAGCAAAAGAAGCGAGACACTTCGGGCCGCAGCAGCACCCACTGCCACAGCCACGCAGCTATGTTTATCAGCGTAATTGCGAAAGAATAGCTCCCGCTGCTGCTGCTGCTGCTCTCGCTGCTGCTGCTGCTGCTGCTGCTGCTGCTGCTGCTGCCCTGCTGCACCATCTGCTGCGCCTCTAAGGGAAAAGTGTGGCAGAAAAACAGCAGCGCCCGCAGCGCCAGCAAACCGCAGCCTCGAAAGTCCGTAGAGGGGTCGTTGCCCTGCAAGCAGCAGCAGCAGCAGCAGCAGCAGCAGCAGCAGCAGCAGAGGGGTGCAGCACAGCAGCAGCAGCGTGGGGGCGGAGGCCTACGCAGCGCCGCGGATGCTGCAGCGAGCACTGCAACAGCAGCAACAATACTAGACAGAGCAGCAGCAGCAAGGAGAACAACAGCTGTAATGGCAAGCAGAACAGCAGCAACAGCAGCACGAAAAACAGCAGCAGCAGCAGCAGCAGCAGCAGCAGCAGCGTACCTGGAAGCCCAGCAGCTTCCACTCTTTGGAGACTGTGCTGCGGAGGGGCCTTTGGGGCATAGAGAGCTGCCAGAGAAGAGCGAAAAGGGGCGCATGCTGCTGCTGCTGCACTTGCTGCTGCTGCAGCTGCTGCAGCAGCTGCCGGCTGAAGGTCAGGCCTCGCAAAGCGCTGAGCGGGCGGGAGAGATCTGCAACAAAACCAGCAGCAGCAGCAGCATTTCAAGTAAAAGCGCGGCAGCAGCAGCAGCATTTCAAGTAGAAGAGCAGCAGCAGCAGCAGCAGCAGCAGCAGCAGCAGCAGCAGCAGCAGCCCGTGGCACGCCTGCGACCCGCTGGTGCTGCAGAGGCGAGCTGGCAGCAGCGACCGCAGCGCAGCAGCAACGCCAGCAGCAGCAGCAACAGCCGCAGCAGCACCAACACCAGCAACAGCGCCAGCAGCAGCAGCAGCGCCAGCAGCAGCAGCAGCGCCAGCAGCAGCAGCAGCGCCAGCAGCAGCAGCAACAAGGCGACTGACTGCATGCAAAGGCTTGTTTGTCTTTAATTCTTTTGCTGCTGCAGATGGAGTCCACTGCCTTTTGAAAAGAAGTGCAGCTTTGAAGGCGGGCCACGTCTGCTGCGTCCTGTTCACAAACGCCCTCTGCTGCTTGCTGCTGCTGCTGCTGCTGCTGCTGCTGCTGCTGCTGCTGCTGCTGCTGCTGGTCGTTGCTGCTGGTGCACTTGAGGGCGCAGCAGATGACTTCTTGGTTGTTCTCCCACGGAGTGCTGCAGCAGCTGCTGCTGCTGCTAACGCTCCCGCCGTGCGCGTCTGCAGCCTTGGCCGCAGCAGCAGCAGCAGCAGCAGCAGCAGCAGCAAGGGCCGCAGCAGGCGCGTCCTGCAGCAGCAGCAGCGCGCGCTTTGCATGCGCTGGGATTTGCTGCGAGCGCAGCAGCAGCGGCGGCAGCAGCTCGGGGGCCAAGCCTTTGCTGAGTTGGCCCTCCAGCTCTCCGCGCCGCTGCGTCAGCCGCAGCAGCCACTTCTTCACGCCTGCAGCAGCAGCAGCAGCAGCAGCAGCAGCAGCAGCAGCAGCAGCAGCAGCACACCGGTACGAGCACAGGGGGTTAAGACGCGCTGAGAAAGGAAGGACCAAGCAAGTGCTGCAGGGAGGGGAATCAGCACAATGCTGCTGCGTGTTCTGCTGCTGCTGCTGCAGTCGCTGCTGCTGCTGCTGCTGCTGCTGCTGCTGCTGCTGCTGCTGCTGCGTACCTTTGAGCTTGGGCCGCCGCACGTAGAGGCCACTGTCAGGCACTAGCTGCCACTTGGAGACCCCATTTGTGGGGCTGAGTTTGAGGCGTGCTGCAGCAGCAACTGCTGCTGCTGCTGCTTCGGAGTGCCGCGACAGCAGCGCTTTGCTGCTTCTTCCCGGCCTAGCAGCAGCAGCAGCAGCAGCAGCAGCAGCAGCAGCAGAACAGCTGCCGCCAAGGTCCAGCAGGTGCAGCGAGGCTTGGGGGACTCTCCCCGACCACCGCCAGGTCTTTTTAGACCGCTGCAGTGTTGCTGCTGCAGTTGCTGCTGCAGTTGCTGCTGCTGTTGCTGCTGCTGTTGCTGCAGCAGTTGCTGCGGCAGTTGCGGCTGCTGTTGCTGCTTTTGTTGCTGCAGCATTTGCTGCAGCAGCTCGTGCAGCAGGTGCAGGAGGCCGGCAATCAGCAGAAAGAGAAACAGCAGCAGCAAGCTCCCGCTTCTGCTGCTGCTGCTGCTGCTGCCGCTGCTGCTGAGCTGTTGCTTCCTCTGTAGGTGCTGCTGAGGCACCTACTGCTCTGTCTGCTGCTGCCGTTGCTGCTGCTTCTTGTGCTGCTGCTGCTGCTGCTGCTGCTGCTGTGTCTGCTGCTGCTGCTGTGTCTGCTGCTGCTGCAGGGCTGCGACTTCGAGAAGCCCTTTTTCTGCAGAGGCGGCCTAGAGGCCCATGGGGCTGCTGCTGCTGCTGCTGCTGCTGCTGCTGCTCCTGCTGCTGCTCTTGCTGCTGCTCCTGCTTAAGAAGAGAAGGAATGCGGCTGCTGCGCTTGTTCCACTGCGGAGATAATGGAACGGCGTGTTTGCTGCTGCCGTTCGTGCTGCTGCTGCTGCTGCTGCTGGCTGCTGCAGCAGCGAGGCCGCGGCTTTCTGCTGCTGCAGCAGAAAGACACGTGGGAAAAGCAGCCCCCTTCTGCCGCTGCCCGCCCCGCAGCAGCTGAGGGCAGCCAACGTCAAAAGGATCTGCTGCTGCTGCTGCTGCTGCTGGATCTGTTGCTGCTGCTGTTGCTGCTGAGTCTGCTGCGAGTTCTGCTGCTGCTGCTGCTGCGTCTTCTGCTGCTGCTGCTGCTTCTGCTGGAAGCTCCATTGGCTCGCCTTCCCGAAGACGGGTTTCTGCAGCATCGGCAGCCAGCCCGTGCATTGTTGCTGCTGCTGCTGCTGCTGCTGCTGCTGCTGCAGCTGTCCTGGTTGGACCTCGGTGGTGTTGCTGCTGTTGTTGTTCCAATTTTTAGCAAGAAGGCAGTGGCGGTTGGGGGGCTGTCTTGCTGCTGCTGCTGCTGCTGCTGCTTCTGCTGCTGCTGCCTATTTGGCAGCAGCTGCGCAGCAAGGGATGGTGCAGCAGACACAGCAACAGCATACCTCTGGGGATGAGATCAGCGAGGCGAATTTGTTCCTGCTGCTGCTGCTGCTGCTGCTGGCTTCCCCGTCGCTGGTGCGCCTGCAGCCGTACAGCCGAGGGCCCCTGCACATCTGCTGCTGCTGCTGCTGCTGCTGTTGCTGCTGCTGCTAGTGCTGCAGTTTTCTTCCTCCCGAGGCGGGAGCCACTATACACTTTGACTGACCTGAAGCCTTGGGCTGAGGCAGCGGGCCGCTCGCTGCTGCTGCTGCTGCCGCTGTTGCGACGTCGGCTGCGGCGGTGCTGCTGCTGCTGCTGCTGTTGCTGCTGCTGCTCGTTGCATCTGTCTTCACAGCTGGCTCTCCAGCTTCCAGCAGGCCTAACAAAAACAAACAAAACGGTGGGGTTGTGGTTGCTGCAGCAGTGCTGCAGTTTCGGCAGTGCGCAGCGGCTGCTGCTGCTGCGGTGGCGGCTCGCTGCAGCCTTCGATGATTGCTGCTGCCGCTGCTGCTGTTGTCGCTGCTGCTGCTCCTCCCCAGACAAATGAAATTGTAGCCAAAACCTTCTTTATTCTTTCAAATAACACAGAAGAACATCAATTCTTAAGAGTGTTTCAGGGTGGCTTGCTGCTGCTGCAGCGGCAGCAGTACCGCCAGCTACGGGCGCAGCAGCAGCAGGCTGCACCGCCTGCTGTTGTCAGCAGCAGCAGCAGCAGCTGCTGCTGCTGCAGCTACCCACTAAAGCTATTTGTCATTTGCAGCTCTTCCACAATTTCTTGCAAAATGCCAAAAGAGAACTATTTGTAACTTTGCTGCTGCTGCCGCTCCTGCCCGCAGCGCGCTCACGAGCTGCTGCTGCTGCGCGGGAACGGGTGAGCTGCTGCTGCTCTTTGCCGAGCAGCAGCAACAGCAGCAGCAGCAGCGCGAGCAGCTCTGCTGCTTAATTGGCTACGTGTGTGCCCCTGCAGCAGGAGCGCCGGGCCCTCTTCCACTTGCTGCTGCTGCTGCTGCTGCTTGCTGCTGCCTCTCAGCAAGTCCCCACAAGAGCTAGCTAGCTCCGCGGCTAGCCGCAGCTGCTCGCAGTTAGCTGCAGCTAAAGCAGCAGCTAGCTGCGGCTATAGCAGCAGCCACAGCAGCAGCTAGCTGCAGCTAAACACCACCAGCAGCCGCAGCTAGCCACAGCTAGCTGCTGCTAACAGCCGCAGCTAGCTCACTACGAGCAGCACCTTCCCACAGCTAGCTCAGCTAGCTGCAGCAACTCGAGGCCGCTAGCTCAGCAGCCAGCGCTGCGTAGCAGCAGCAGCAGCAGCAGCTAGCTTTAGCTAGCTGCAGCTAGCTGGAGCTAGCTGCTGCCAGGGGCAGCTAGCTGCTGCTACGCGCGGCTAGCTGCAGCTAGCTGCTGGCCAGCTGCTGCATTTGCTGGCTGCTGCTAACCTCCCCACAGCCTCTTTATTGGGGTTTAGGGTTTGGCAGGCCCTGGGTGTTGTCCTGACGATTGCTAAACCCTAAACCCTAAACCCTAAATCCCAAACCCTAAACCCCAACCCCTGTCCTCTAAACCCTAAACCCTAGCCCTAAAACCAAATTTGCTGCAGCGCTGCTGCTGCTATTAGCTGTCGAGCTCGTCCTCTAGTGGCTCCTCTGTGCGGCGCCTCTTGCCGTTGCTGTTGCTGCCAGCAGCAGCAGCAGCAGCAGCAGCAGCAGCAGCAGCAGTGGAGAACAGAGGCAAAGGCGACACAGCGTCGCGGCAGGAAGACCTGCTGCTGCTGCTGCTGTTGTGCTCAATTTCAAAAGGAGACTTATCCTTGCAGTAACCATTCTGCTGCTGCTGTTGCTGATCTTGCTGCTGCTGCTGTTGTTGCTGCTGCTGTTGCTGCTGTTGTTGCTGCTGCTGTTGCTGCTGTTGCGCCTGCGAAGTCCGCTGCTGCTCTTGGTGCTCTTGCTGCAGCGCCTGCTCTAGTTGCTGTTGCTGCTGCTGCTGGGACATCAGCAGCTCACGCAGCGCCTGCATGCAAACCAACATAGAAGTTTGCTGCAGCTGCAGCTGCTGCTGCCAACATAGAAGTTTGCTGCAGCTGCAGCTGCTGCTGCTGATGCTGCAGTTGCTGCTGCTGCTGATGCTGCGACTGTAAAGAGCAAGAAAAAGCGCCAGTGACATTGCAAGACGAAAACGGGCAGCAGTATCACTGCAGCAGCAGCAGCAGCAGCAGCTGCAGCAGCAGCAGCAGCTGCAGCAGCAGCAGCTGATTCAACAGCCGCTTTACCTGTGTCTGCTGCGCAGAGAAATCACGCAATCTTTGCAGCAGTGCTGCTTGCTGCTGCTCGCGCCCCCTTGCAGCAGCAACTGCTGCCTGCAATCCCTCCTGCAGCAGCAGCAGCAATTAAGAGCAGCAGCAGCAGCAGCAGCAGCAGCAGCCACGCAAGCGAATGATCACCAGCGATGCAAACAAACAAACAGCAGCAACTAGAAGCCGAGCTGCAGCGGCAGCAATCAAAACTGCAGCAGCAGCAGCTGGAACAGCAGCGGAGCAGCAGCAGCAGCAGCAGCAGCAACTGCAGCAGCAGCAACTGCAGCAGCAGCAATAAAAGGACTGACTGCCTCTGCCTCCAAAGTTGCAATTCGCTGCGTCGCATCTCTTAGTGTCTGCTGCAAACCTCCTATCTCGCCTGCGCAGCAGCAGCAGCAGCAGCAGCAGCAGCAGCAGCAGCAACTGAAGCAGCTGCAGGACGGTCGGGTGTGCTGCTGCTTCGCTGTTACAGCCAGCTGCAGCAGCGCCACTCGGAGCAGCAGCAACGGCAGCAGCAGGACCAGCTGCAGTAGCAACAGCAGCAGCAGCAACAGCAGCAACGGCAGCAGCAGCAGCAAAAGCAACGACAGCAGCAGCTCCTACCGCGCGCTGCAGTTTGAGCAGCAGCAAACTGCTCCCTAATCTCCGCCAGCTGCTCCATCTGCAGCAGAAGCAGCAGCAAAAGCAGCACAGCAGCACAGCCGTGTGCAGCAGCAGCAGCAGCAGGACTCTAAGCTGTTCATTCTTCAGCATTAGCTGTTACAGCAGCAGCAAGCGAAGCGGCTGCAGCAGCAGCAAACGAAGCAGCAACTGCAGCAGCAGCAACTGGAGCAGCAGCAGCAAACGAAGCAGCAACTACAGTAGCAGCAGCAAACGAAGCAGCAACTACAGTACCAGCAGCAACTGGAGCAGCAGCAGCAGACGAAGCAGCAACTACAGTAGCAGCAGCAAACGAAGCAGCAACTGGAGCAGCAGCAGCAAACGAAGCAGCAACTGCAGCAGCAGCAGCAGCAGCAGCAGCACCTGTGCCCTGAGTTCTTCATTCTCCAGCAGCAGCTGCTGCACCATGTCTTCAAGGCGCCTCTTTTCCATCACTGCGCGCTGCAGCTCAACAGCAAGTCTGCTGCCTGCTGCTGCTGCTGCTGCTGCGCCGCTGCTGCGGCCGCTCGACCCTCGCGGGGTCAAGGGCTGCAGCAGCACATCCTGCTGCTGCTGCTGCTGCTGCTGCAGCAGCAAAGGAGCAGCACTGGCTACTGCGTTTCCAGAGCCGGAATAGTACGCATCCGAAAGTGGAGTTGAGCGGGGGAACGGTGCTGCTGCTGCTGCTGCTGCCGCAGCAGCAGCACCGTTTGCTGCAGGCGCTGCTGCTGCTGCTGCAGCTGCTGCAGCTGCTGCAAAGCCTTGGTCTGACGCTGCTGCAGTAGCTGGCGGAACTGCAGCAGCAGCAGCAATTCCCTGTGATCGTCGATCCTGCGAAGTGTTGCGCCTCCCTCCGAAGTCCAGCTGCTGCTGCTGCTGCTGCTGCTGCTGCTGCTGCGGCTGCTGCTGCTGCTGCTGCTGTGAGGCTGAGCCGCAGCAGCAGCGGGCCCCGGGAGTAGTGCATGCAGCGCAGATGCGGAGAACCAGCCGCCACCGAAATGCTGCTATAGGGGGGCCCTCCTCTCTCACTGTGCAGCACAGCAGCAGCAGCAGCAGCAGCAGCAGCAGCAGCAGCAGCAGCAAGCATGAGTTCTTAGGCTGGCAGCAGGAGATGCAGCAGCCGCAGGGAGGTGGGAGCAGCAGCAGCACAACACGTTGTGCACCCAGCAGCAGCAGCAGCGCAGCAGCAGCAGCAGCAGCAGCAGCAGCGCAGCAGCAGCAGCGCAGCAGCAGCAGCAGCAGCAAGCAGCTGACGCGGTCTAGCCAGGGATAAGACGCTGCAGAGTGGCCAGAGAACAGTTTCTCCTTTGGCAGCAGCAGCAGCATCAACCCAAGAGCCGTTGGTGCTGCAGTCCACCACGAAGACAGCAG